GTTTTTTATGTTCACCGAGAAGTTTTTAGCCAAGAGAAAACTCAAAGTACCTACTGATTTGAAAGACAGGGTATTCCTTGATTTGGGGGAAGAAACAAGAAGTCTGCACTGAAGAAAAGAAGCCAGTTGTCAGCTGAGAGGTATGTTTAAAAGACTTTGGGGTCACGCACTTATAAAGCACATTAGCCTGGGCTCCAGAAATCAGCAGAACAGGAAAAACCAGAATAAATGTTGAGATGAGTTCCAAAATATAATATAGGCTATTTATAAAGACAGTAACAAATAAATATATCATAGGAATTTTTCATTAAAAATATTCTAAACCATCTCAAACATTGCCACTAAAATAATAAAGGAGTGACCTTGAACCCCTAAGGCAAGCAGGGCAGAACAGTAGCCACCACAAGTAATATGTGAAGTTCCATTTTTAATCTTAAGAATTCACATAAATTTTGCATTCTGCTATGTGGATATACACTTGTTTTCTGGTTTATCAGACCCACTTGAACATTTCCATTTGTATTTACTTGTTTCAATTAGAAAATATTTTAAATAACCTGGGCAAAAATTAATGTTTCAGGTTTGCCATGCTTATTCTAAAGCCTTCTATCCTCAGCTTATTAACGCATACTCCATTTCAGAAGAATCACTCTCATTGTCCTTTTTCCATCCAAGTTTGCTGAAGTTTGATTTTGACTAGTAAAAAGGTGTATTTCTGATATGTAATTGGTAATTCAAAAACTTAACTCTCAGAAAGTTGAAGAGAAATGCAACAATTGCCCAAATTCAGAAACAGGCCCTCCGCAGGGCCTCCTTTATGCCCCTGGCTCACTCGCACCTCCTTGGCCGAAGAGCTCCTCTCCAGCTGGGAACAGGCAGCCGTGGTTTTCCAGGCCCTGGCAGGCAGCGATACCATGAGGCTGAGTTCTGGCCAAGGAACAGGAACGTGGAAGGAGAGAGGACTCTCCCCATTTGGGGGGGGGGGGGCAAAAAGGCCAGACTTCCTCCACAATGCTCCCTCTTCCTCCCTCTTCCTCTCTCTCTCCTTTTTTGAATGACTGCCCCACACCAGGCCTGCCTTGGAGGCCCTGTGTTAAGACTGAGCATCTTCATCAACCCCAATCCCTGAGGCCAGAGAGAGAGCTCCTCAGCCAGGGTGCCACACAGCAGTGGCTTTGCCTTAGAAGAAACAAAGGTGTGTCCAATTAAGTGCAGAGACATCAGAATTTATCTATCACAGATTAGACATTACTTAAACTAATACATACTACCTGAAAACTGAGGAGTGAGATAATTCACGTAACGTAATTAGCACCTGGCATATCACGGAATGTGCACTCTGTCACTGTGAGGCCATGGGGCCCTGGAACGAGGCTGCCACCTCCTATCAATCTATTGCTTAAATTGCAGGGTAAAGTTAACCACAAATAACCAAGTCATGGAATCAAGCTGTCACAAATTGGCCTCCACGTTCCTAAGGCACTTGAAGCATGTGTATTGACAGGGGAAAAAAGGAAGAAATGAAGAAAGAAGAGGAGGAGAATGTAACTGGAGTTGGAAAATAATTTTAAAGGTATTTGCAAACCTAGTTTGGACCCAGAAGGGTAGGAGAAAGAGACAGAGCTTTTGCTGAGACCATTGTGTGCCAGTTGGAAGAACAAACAACTCACATTTCTTCTGCAGAATAACCCTAAAGGTGCATATTATTTTCTCCATTTACAAATAAGAATTGATGCCCCAGGAAACAGGATCTCACAGTTTATAGGCAGCAGCCCTGGATGAGAGCCTGAGTTGATCTGACTCTAATGTCCTTGCTCTTCCTGATGGAAGCATTTTACAGGGCAGTCCCTCGAAGCCACGGGAAGAGAGGCCCACACTCCTGCTGAGGGACAGGGTGCCAGGATGAGGCTCATCATTAATGAAAGTGTTAAGTGAGATGCAAACACAGAGGCCGTTTGAAATGGGCTCTCTGAAATGAAAGCTGGGCTCAAACAGAGCCCGCTTTCAAGGGGGCCTGGTTTATATCACCAACTGCTAGGGAAGAAAGGCATTAAAAGAAGTGCCTTTCTGCTGGGCTTGCAAAACTTCAGGTTCATGAATTCAAGAGCAGATTAAGGAGAAGAAAACTGGGTTTTAGACTGCAGCCTCAGGAGCTTCCTGCGTCTCGCAGGCCAGGAGGTTGGCTTTTCCAATTGTGCAATTAAGCGCTTCTATCCAAGCTCACTCCCAGTTTTCAATTAATCTGCAATAATGAATTTAACAACTAAACTGAACTTGTTAATTGAGGTGCCTGCTGGCCAGGTCATCTCCTCTTCCATGTCTGACAGCAAATTCCCCCAATTGTGCCAAGGTAAAGTGTGGTAGTGGGTATCCCTGCCTCTCCACCTCTGAGGCCCTCCCTGGCCAAGGGGTACACTCAGTGGATGGGAGAAGAGCTGCCTGGGGGGCTGCCTCAGAATACCAACTCACACGTGGAAATTGCTTCTCTGGACACCGGCTTTGACTTTTGCTTTTAAATGAAAACTCGAGGCTTGTCCCAGCTGTATTATCTCCCTGGCCCTGGGCAGTTGCTATGTAATGCTGAGGACATTTAACTTGATAAAGAGCCTAGACTTCTGTCTAGAAGCAAGATGTTCATAGAGTTGGTAACTCTCTCAGTTTGCTTATCTGGAAAATGGAACTAGAAGAACCAGATCTTGGGGTCAGAGAAAAGAATGAGATAGAGTTCATCACAGTGTCTTATCCTACACTGAGGGCCGTGGGGTGATGACACCCCAGGAAGGCAGTCCACCTGTTCTGTTCCCCATTCTGTCTCTGGTGAATCCTCTCACTCCCTGCACCTCTGGCCTATACCCCAGCTCTTGTATACATAAATAAATAAATCTTTTTAAAAATGCAGGTCACGGAAGAGAAGGCTCTGGGAATTTGACTTCAATGCTAAGAAGGATGAGGCTACAGAACACATCAGAATCCAGTTTAGGGGCTGAGACTCAGTGAGGACGTCCAAGGTAGGAGGCACCATGGAGGATCAGGAGGGTCAAGCCAGGAAAGCGCGCAGTCACCGTGGGGTGGTGCTGCCTTTGCTGCCAGAGAGGCTCCGCCTGGTGCTGGGATGAGAGATGCAGTCCAGGGCTGGTGCCTCCCAGCTGTGTCCCCACGACTGCTAGGAGAGGATATAAGTCACAGGGGCTCTCGTACTGACGTTGGATTGCTCTCTGCAGACACCTAACTCAGGCTGTAGGTTATCTACCTCTGGATTTACCACACTTGAAATGGGGAATCAATTTCTTTAAAAAAAAAAAAAAAAAAAAACATCTTCCCCAAGAAACATAGTTCAGATACCACAGAGCATCAGAAGAGGTGTCAAGACGGGTGGGGAGCTGACTCTCCCGATGGCCTCTTATCTCAAATTTACCAGTAGTTATCAAACAGTATTGACTGCTCTTCATTCATTCACTTAATAAATATGTATTGGTGGCTCCTGCATGACAAGTTCTCTGCCATTGACAAGGGATGAAAAGGAGAGGCAGATCTCTTCCTCTGAGACTTGAGGAAGCAGCCATCACAGGGACTGTGAGTGGCAGGCTGGACTGAATGGGCACTGGGTGATGCTGTCCTGTCTCCGAAGGAGGATGCGGGAGTGCTTCTAAAAATTATTTAGATAAAACTCTTATTTCTCAAATAAAGAAAGCAAGTCCTCAAAGGGGAAATTTAGTTAATATGATTTAATGCTAATTTAAAATGTTGATAGTACTACTGGGTGTTAACCTGGCTGGTCACCTTTGAGAAGCTGAGGAGATGGAAGCTTTTTAGTCTCAGTTTTACCTCTTGCACAAGCCCTCACCGATGACCTCAGCCATAGGTCATTCAGCCTTCTCTGCCATCAGAGTTCTTGATTGTCTGGTCTACTCAGACCTGGTACACTGTATTCTGACTAGAACATTCAGACTAGATGCAACCCTTACATAAGTGGCTGTCTAGATCTTGCTAATCTTGGGAACTGTAGAGTCTCAAGCCCCAAATATTGTCTCACTCCCCTATAACAGGGAATTAATATTATTCTCAGAGAGGTAAACTATAAGGACCTCTAGATCACGGACCCAGATTTTTGAGGTCATCTTGCTGTTGGACCTGCACTCTAATCTTCAGCCTCTACTGTTCAGAAACTAGAGTCCAGCTTTTGTCTTTTAAATTCATACTTTCTTTCTCATAACCCAAAACTGGGTATTTACTTGATTTCTTTTAACTATGGCTGGCCTGGAACCAACGGCTACATTTGCTAACTAAGGGCTAACAGTTGGGTTCCTACCTGTTCTCACCTGAGCTGACCATCACATGTCTGAACCTCTCATCAAGGTAACCTTTCTGAGTTTGTCTATATAGGTGCATCAGTCTCTGCTGGATTTTTGTTTGTGTCACCTTTCCAGTTTCATGGGTCGCCTCTCCTTTCTCCTAATCCTCTAATATATTGTTTTCAGACCCATGTTTCAATTCAGCTCCACATATATAATAATTCTTTCTACTTACACACCTATAACTGACACCAAACATTCCACTGAGACCCAGTTCTGGATTTCAGGACAGGCTGCATCACGGTCTTCTTTGTAGTCCACTGAGGGCCTCACATGTAATTGACTCGATCCTCAGTGGGCCCTTAAGTGATGGACAAGCCCTTACACTTCCCAAGGTGTCACTGAACAAGAGCATGTTGAATGACTTGGCTGCTCTCCAGACCCATGATGACAGCACAAGGGTCCAGAGTGCCCACTTCCTGTGCAGCCAGCCAGGCCCACTGTCCTCACTCTAGATCCCAGTCCAGGCTCACCCCCAACCCTTAGCTGCACTCAGCTCAGTTGCCTGAGAGTCACAGGGACACTGCCAGTGCTCCTGAGGACAAAAGAAATAAAACTCCTCAGATTTAGCATTTTTCACCCATGTTCCCACTGTACCCCACTCTTTCCTCCTATTTTTCCTCTCCTCTCCTCCCCCTTCCACCCCACTACTTACAAGGAAAAAAATAATAACAAATAGGAAGGCTAATTCTAAGTTTGTGCAGTCCCAGCGTGTATCCTGGTCCGCCTTTAGTCCTGTTATTTTCTCCCGGGTCTAGCTTTGACAAGACTGATGACATTTACGTTTTCCAAAAGCTTCAATAAGAGGCACTTTAGCTGCAATCACCTCCATCTAATTTCCCCAGTCAAATTTTTTTTTACTTAAATCACACAACAGAACTAGGGCCTGAGCTGTTCTGACAACTTGTCACCAAATAGGGCTCAGCCCAAATGGGCTGTCTTGAAAACCAAGGACAAAAGGGGGAAAAAATGGACTAAGTGGCCTGAAAATGAAGTGGAATGGCTGGAGGAAGAGAGGAGATTGGCGTGAGTCAATTTGTTAAAGTTCTAGAACAGATGGCTTGGTACTCTTTGGGGTCCGGAATGAAATGAGCAGATAATGTGTCTGTTTCTCTAGAGAGGAAGCCCTGAAACACCAGGGCTGGAAGGGGCCATTTGGCCCAGTGTACATGAAGCCTCCATCCCAGAGAGGAAAGCAGTGGCTCCTGGATCATGCAGCCCCTGGGGCAGTCCCCCCAGGAAAGGAGCGGGACCTTTCTTCTCAATACCTCTGGGTGGAAGGTTAACCTCCTAGGGAGCCCAAGAACCAGATGCTTTACTCCAAATGGAAGTGGAGGAAAGACACTTGATGATGCATTGCATCCTTTGTTTAAAATAAATGTTTTGAATACACACACACACACACACACACACACACACACACCAAAAAGCACTTTAATAATACTAGCTCATCTCCAAAAATTTTCAAAAGGCAAATCCTTGTGTGCATCCACCACGCAGGTCAAGGAGCCTTGCTCAAGCTCCCTCTCAGTCACTAATGCTCCAAAAGGGACCATTGTCCTGACAGCTAAGACCATGGGTTAGCTCTGCCTCATTTGTATTTTATACAAATTGAATCACATGCCAAATGTGTGCTTTCCCGTGTCTAGCCCATGTTGTTAGACATGGCAATGATCAGTTATCCACTCCTGTTTTTACCGAGCACCCCACTGTGTAATTATTACCGTTCACACACTTACCACACTGTTGGTAGACATTTGAGCTATTTCCAGATAAGGGTTCTTATCAATAACCCACGATGAGCTTTCTTTATGTCTTGGTGCACGTAATGTTCGTTTCTATTCGGGTCCAGGCCTGGGGACTGTATCCCAGTGCATGGGGTGTGCATGGTTGGTTTCCGGAGCTGCTGCCCAGCAATTGTCCAGCACAGCTTCCTCTTCCTCCTCCACCAGCCAAGCTTGGACATTCTGGGTACTCTGGTCTCACCAGCACAGGGTTCATTTGACCATTTTGGGTGCGTGTATGTTGCTTTAGTTTTTATTTCTCTCATTAAACATTTGCACCTTTGCTTATTACTAGGTATTTGGATAGCTTTTGTTAAGCGTTCTTTTTTTTTTTTTTTCCCCTAATGGACTGCCTTTGTTCTCATTGATTTATACCAAGTCTTTGTACATTCTGCCGACAAGTTCCTTGTCAGTCATATGTATCCAGGTAGAAAGTGTGACATGTCATTGACAGAGAGGACTTTATTACACCAACCTCAACTCCTCACTCTCACCCATCTCCCAGCTTGGCTTAGCCCCAATGCCACCTGCCCCATCCATTCCAGTCAGCCCAGGCTGCTGCCAACATTTCCTATCCTATGTCACCTTCGTGTGGCCTGGGTGCAGGTCCCCGAGGTCACAACCTAGAGGCACCGTGGCTGTCAGATGCATGTGCACCTAGTGCTTGTGCCCTGGGCCTCACGCCATTCCTGGCACTGCCCAAGCCTCCCATGACTGTGAGCTCTGAAAAAATCTGGATGTTGACAAGGGTGAGCTCTGGGTGGGAGCAGAGGGTGTGCTGAAGGCCTGTGGCTGTCTCTGCAGCCCAGAACAGCACTGGAGGAGACCTGTCACTGGGAGGCCCTTTATGAACCCCAACACCTGGAAAAGAGTCACTTGAATAAGCATTTGTTTTGAAGTGAAAACGCCACCGACCTGGCTACAAGACAGGAGGTCAAGATCTGTCTCGTCACTGCTGAGACTGACCAGCTCGTTCCAGTTTGTCCACTACAACCTCCAGTATAGCCCTGAAAACCCTGCATCCCAAAACCCCTCAGGGAGAGGGTGATTTTTGACCCCCCTGCTGCCTCTAAATGGCTGTGTGTCTTGGAGAAATATAAAATTCTGGGCTATAAAATCTTCATCTATAAATTGAATTGAAAGTACCCTGGAGGAGTTTTCCTTTTCCTCCCATCTCTGACTTTTTGTTGTTGCCATGCTAGGATCTTCTAGTAACTTTCTTTCAAGAGGCAAATAAAAAAATATTCCACCATGGAGGAGAATGCATGCCCATCCCCATGGTCACTTTCCCCAAATGATGAAGGCTGCCAAGTACTCTGTGCCAGTGTGCCAGGCACTGCACCGCCTTGCCTCTATGCTCACAATTCCCTATTACTCATGGCTTCCCTGGGACATAAGCATTATGTCACGTTCTCATTTATGTGTGTGGAAGCAGGGTGCAGAGGATTTGAGCACCAGACTATAACACCACACAGCCAGTCAACAAAGGACAGCAGTTCTCAGTCCCCAGTCTGCATGTTTCCAAAACCCCTGGACTTGGCCTTAGCGTGTTCCACCAACTTATACCTAATTTCTCGGTGCTTTCACATCATCACTTGTAAAATGGCGCTCTCACTACCCGCCTCACCTGTCTCAGGACACGGTGCTTTCGTGTGTGTTATCCCACCTGATAACTTCCTGACAGAGCTGTCAAGCTATTAAGTGAGAGCTCTGAGAAATTAAAAACTGTCTCTAAACAAAATGGATTGCTAATAACAATGTCTGGAGAAAGCCAGAGTGAATCCACAGGTTTGGACAAGAGGAGGAGGCAGGTCTGAATGTTTCCTCTCTCATATCAGCTTCCAAATCTGATATTGTATGTACCTAGAGAAACCAGAAACTCATAGAAGGAGGAAAACAAAAGATATGAGAACAAAAGAGAAATCCAGAATCTGGGGACCCAGCACCAATTTCCCAGCATCTACTTCCATGAGCCTGAGAAGTTACTGAAAATGCATGGATCTGATATTTCAACTGCGGTAACCAGGCTGTTTTGAGTTTCAAGTGGCATGAAAACCTTTGTCTTACCATGTCTGAAGATGGAGACTGGACACTATTCATTGGAAAATTAAACAAGTCTTGGTCCAGACAGCGAAAGGAAAATTAAATAAAAGAAACAAAAATCAAAGTAAGTAGTGGCCTGGGAGAGTTGGGAGAAAAGCCAGCAGAGGGACCTAACTAGTGTCAGGAAGAGACCTGTGCCCGAACTGCAGCCTCTAAGAGGGTTTTCAGGTGTCAAGGGAAACAGAGAAATACCTGCTCCAACTGCTACTGAGGTTTGATGAAAATTATAGACTTTGGTCCCGGGAAAGTGTACACATTAAAATCACTTACCCAGCATGTTCCATATGGCTCAGGAGCTTCACAGACCCATCTACCCCCAGAAACTCCAACTACCACCAAACCCTCATTTTTAAGAGAAGGAAACCTAAGACCCATAAAGGTATGCTGCGTTCTCCAGGATCAGCAAGATCATGGGCAGGCAACCCCCCCAGACATATCCCAGCATTCCTATCTCCAGACCAGCTTTTCTCATGGAGAGATATGGAAAAAATTCCTCTCTTCAAGGCCAAGGTGCCCCAACTGTCCTCCCTGCAAGCGCCCTCTGAGTGTTCTCGTCCTCGCTGTCCATACTGGAAGGTGCTCATGCCCCTGATGTACCCACAAACTGGGCATGCGCGTCCATGTGCCACTTCATCATGATGGCACATTAGAATCAGGGCAAGCTGAGCTCCTGCCCCTGAAGCTGATATATACCCCAGGCCCTTGGACAGAGACCAAAATGGCAGGTACAGATGGACAAAACAGATCCCATTAGTGGCAGTGCTCTTGATTTGAAACTCACTTTCATCCTGGCTCTGAGCACAGATGCCATCGTCCTGGGCCTATCAGGGAGGGAGGGCGTGGCTGCCCCTTAGAGAGGGTGTCAAGAGGCCCTCTCCTTCAGCCTTTCCAGACGAGGCATGCAGGGATTGAGGATGTGTCCAAGTGCTGTGACAGCACTTCTGGGGGGCAGAGGGCATTGCCAGGTGGTGGTATCATGCGAGAGTTCACAGCCATGCAGGGCCCAGTGGGGGTGAGTTCCAGAGAGAAATTCTTCATCTTCATTCCAGGTTCCCTGGGTTCTAATAGCCCCTCAACAGCTGGCTGATGTCCGCAGAGATCCACATGGATGCAGCTAAAGTCTTGGATTACTATTAATTTTATTTTTACCATTGGTCACAATCATTGGAAAGTTTCATCCACCTTTACCCACGCCTGCTCTGGATGCTTCCTTCAGCCTGCCAGGCTCTCTCTGTTCACTTCCCCACCTTTGTTCACAGTTGTTCAATTAATTTACTTCCAGAAAACAAAATCTACTGTGGGGAACTCTTGCCTCTGAAGGCCGATTCCCCGCAGCCGTGTAGCTTCTCCTCACAGCAGTGCTCAGGAGAAAGTGTCAGGAAGGAGGGGCTCTCCTCAATCCCCACTGCCACGCTTGTGTTCTCTGTTGGGCCCAGAGCAGTTACAAGCCGGCTGCTAGGAGAGAGAACAGAGCTTTGGCCTGGGGAATGGCATGTGCCTGTGGAAGCACAGGCTCCAGAGTCTGCAGCTCTGATTCCAGAACAAACATCTGGGGCCACTGGGAAAAGTGGCCCAAGTTGGACTCCCCTCTCTTCATCCCAGAGTGCATACCCAGTTGCCTGCTCCTAAAATGACACCTCGTTGGCTGGCTGGTTGGTTGGTAGGTGAGTTGGCTGGTTTTAGGCCAAGACTTACCTGTGAGCCTGTAAGGTCACCGGGAGGGCACTTTATTGCTTGTCTCCACAGCCTAGCTCTTCCGTCCTCTTTCTGCTCAAATTTTGGCACAGAGGAGAGAAAACACTTTAAAACATGGCAGCTCACTCACTGCATCGAGGACTTCATGTGACATCTGGTGGTTCCCTCTGCCCTGCCTGGGAGCTGTAGCTAGTGTGACAGCTCCTTGGGGCAGCCCCCACTCCCTCCAAGTCTCCAGGCCCCCACATGCCTCATCTCCATTGCCTCTGCACCGTCTTACAGGGACGTGTCTTTGTTTGTGTCTTCATTTTTCTTTTTAATTTTATTATAATCTTTTACTTAAAAATCACTTATGTGAGACTTACTGTGTGCCAAGCAGTATTCTAAGAATTTATAAAGACTGACTCCCTTAATTCTCACGCCAATCCTCATTTTGCAGATAGGGCGATGGAAGCAGGGTAGCTAAGCAACTTGCCAGAGGCTGCGCAGTCCAGGTAGTAGCAGGAGGCCAAGTTGCCGCCCAAGTCCAGGCCCCCCACCATGATATGAGGGCGCTTTTCCCTGCTTGGCTAGTGCCCCCCATCACCCACCTAGGCATCTTCTCCGGGTTCTCCTCCTCCCCTCCCCAATAGCCACCACATTTGCTGTCATGCTGCTCTGTCTCAGGATCCATTTCCTCTTCTTCACTTTGCTGGATGTCCCAGCTCGGACATGAAAAATGTGCACCAGCTCCCACACACCCCAGCCATACCTGCTGTTGCTTCCCAATAGTTTTGTCTAAAAACTCATCTCCTCCATGTGGCACCTCTAGCAGTTATGCCAGGATATGCTGTGGGCAGAGGCCTTAGGCCTGCAGGGACACTGTTGCTCCCACCTATGGTTTAGCCTCAAGACCTAAAAAGCCCACATGTCCCTACCCTGCCTCCAGCAGGGCCTGTCTAAACCCAACACACACACCTTCACCTCATCCAGCTTGCACTCCCATAAGTCCAAATCTCCCCACCCAGACCGCTGCCCCCTCTGCTTCCCTCAACTCTATAACTTCACAGCTGCAGGCAGACCCCATCCCTGTGTGACCTTGGGCTCCCTCCTGTCGCATAGGCTTGGAGGGCTTGGGCAGACCCTGCTGGAGTCTGATTTCCATCTGTTCACATTTGGGGCCTCGCTACTCTCACTTGAATGGTCCCTCTGTTACCCTACTCTGTGCCTGGGCAAGGCCTCTCCGATGCAAGCCTCATTAAAAAGCACCCCATCTCTCAGCTTTCACAAGGAATAAGCTACTGTCTGCTTCTCTTCCCCAATCTGCATCTCATTTGTTACCACCACTTTCTTCCTTTGGGTCCCTTCAGTTTTCTAGAGCCCATTAAAACAGCCGCGTCTGCCTTACTCATATAAGATTAGGCTACGAGATAGGCAATCCCCCCTCCTCTCATGTCTTGGGCAATTTACTCTTCATCTTCCTGAGCGTGTCACATGTTTTTTGTCCTTCTCCAGCATTCTTTTTTTTCTCCCAGGCTGGGATTTGAGTTTGATATGAGTGTTGCCACCAGTCATCCTCTATTACTCAGGTTGGTGGGGCGGGAGGGAAGGCCTCCAAGTGTTTCTCACTTGGATGCTGGGTACATTGCTGGAGTCGGCCCCCCACAGAGGAAAGGAGAAGGAAGCCATGGGCACAGACAGCCAGTAATTGGGGGCAAGTGGGGGTGCAGGGGGAGTGATCCTGGGATATCTCTAAGCTGCAAGGCACTGGATTTTGCCTCACTCTCCAGAACGTTTATCTGAGAAATTGCACCTCCAGATTAATAAAGGCTGCAGAATAAATAAGGAAAGAGGAGAGAAGGGAGGGAGAAAGGGAGAAAAGTAAGCTGTATGGGACATAGAGAACAAATCTCCAGCCCTTCCTTAGCTGCACCTGGAGTCAGCCTAGTCTGAGTTAAAGAGCAGCACGTTCACCGTTAAGCTGAGATCCTCAGCAGCTAGAGTCACTAGCACATAGTATCACAATTTCCAACCCCTTCTCCTAGTGCTTAAGTGTTCCTCCCAAAATTAAATAACTGATGTTCTAGAACTGGATCATGGCCCTCTGGGACTCAGATGTCACTCCATGTACCACACAGTCCCAGACAGAGTGACACACCCAAGGTCTGTTCTGAGGACATGGACGGAGCTGGGGACACAGAAGCCAAGTCAGCCTTGGCCTTTCAGCAAGACTTCAGGAGCAGAGGAGCCCCCTGCAACCTCCACCCTCCACCCACTCTGATGCTTCAGTGCCCTTCCAGGCACTCATCCACTCCTGAGCTCAGGGTTGGAAAGTCAAGTTGTGCCAACATGTTACAGGGCCACCTTAGAGTCAGACTAAGCGACAGGAGGGAGCTCACACCCTTCTTAGATCCCTGATCAAAAAGAGAAAGAGACAAGAGCAGTGAAGTCACAGTTAGTAGTGGCCAAGAAGCTGGCAAAAGCCTACGTGGGCCAGGGGGATGTGGAGCCATAGCCACTGCACTCTGAGCTGGCAGCAGTGGGAGGGACCCACTGCCAGGCTGAGCTAGACTCACCCCCAAGAAGCATTTGACCCCCAAGCAGGGTTCGGCCCCATTTTGATGACAAAACACAGTTAATAGCTTTGAAAAAGCACAGTTGGAATAAAAATTGTTACCAAAGTGGGTCCTTCAAATTTTAGATAAAAGCAATTGCCTGTGAAAGCTTCAGTCAATCGAGTGGAGCTGAATGCAGTGAGATGACTTAATGCAGCGATGATAGAGTCAGGAGCCAGTGTAGGGAAAGGTCAAAGGGATGGTCTATGTCTGGAAGCAAACAGTCCCTGTTTGTGTTTGCCACCAGAAGAGGGGCTTGGAGGGGCGGGGGAGAGAACAGTTCCCTTCTCCACCTGGGTTCCCAGCTCATCTGCTTAAAGCGGCCTGGCTGCTGAGATTGTATACTCACCCTAGCTAGCCCGAGGGGGCATGGACACACACGCCCCCTCAGCTCACGTTAGTGAGTAGTTATTTCATATCAAGCATGATGCTAAGTGTGTTGCGAGGATTGCTCTAGTAAGTCTGGTACTTTCACATTTTGCCCAGGAGGAAACTGAGGCAGAGAAGTTAAGTGATCTAAAGAAGATACTTGTAGAGAGAAGGAACTGGATTATCATTCCAACTATCTGACTCAGAACCTGCCATCCTAGCCCTGTGGCTGCACTGCCTGCTACACACACATGAACACACACACGTGTACACATACATGTGACAATGGCATCATCAGTCCCAAATTAAAGGAGGGTGGATCAGACATGGGTGGTAGTAGAGGTATGGGCAGAGGCATGGGTGGACACAGGGACATTCACAGACATGTGGATCATCTGATGACAGTTGTAGGACCCAAAAGTAAACAACTCATCGTATTCTATCAAGGACGCCATTCACTGTGAAGTTCACAAGGGAAATCCAGACACAGAAACAAGGCCAGGTGGGTTCTGCTTTATGGCTGTGACCAAGTTCCAGGGCCTGCAGACCAAGGACCACATGATCAGCTTCCGCCCCGGCCCCAGGCAGCCCTTTGTCCCTCTCTGTATTTTGTCTCTCCTGAAAAATTATCTAGGAAGAGTAAACCTGCCAGGGAGGAGAAACCAGAGCCACAAGAAGCCTGACCCCGGCAGGGTCTGCCCCACAGACCCGGGCACAGCCTGGGCAGCCTGGCCTCCTCTCCAGACCTGCGTGTCCCCTGTCCACACGTCAGTCCACCTGGTCAGGCAGAGGCAGCTCACACTGAACAAGCCTGAACCCAAATGTGGACCCTCCAGTGCAAACTGGGTCCTCCTCTCTTGCTCCCCCCTTCAGAGACTGGCACCACTACCCCACAAGTTGTACAAACTGGAAATTGCCCCAGGAGTTGGGAAGGGGAGAGCAGATCCTACTGGAAAGTGTCCTCGGACCCCAGAAATGGGGAGTGACAGAAATGCATGGAGGAGCAGAATGAAGCAGCAGCAACCAGGAAAACAAGCTAAATCATCCTTCCCCATCCTGAAATAAGCCCCGGAGTGTGCTCAGTGGAGGGGCACACTGGCTAAAGTCCCGTGGGGGTAGTGGGGTGACGACCACATGCAGGGCAGGCCAACTGCTGCAGAGGAGGGGGGAAGATCCTAAAGGGTTTCCTGATACTCAGAGGCAGTGTGTGGGGGGTGGGGGGGCCTGCGGGCTGTTAAGCAGAGCTGGTGCAGCTGAGCCCAGGCAGGAGGGAAATCAGTGGATGCTTAAAATTTTAGAAAAACCAAGGTAAACGGCCTAACTAGAGAAACCAGAGGTCTAGTGTGCCACCCAGGGAACAGAATAGAGAAAAATAGCACTGAGCGTGGGTGAGACGAGTGGATGGCTAAGCTTGGGGCTGGCCAGGGACGGCTTCTCTGCACAAAGCATGCAGGTAACACTTGGTGTTTCTACAACGGAGTGTGCTCTGTTCATTAAGTTCTAAATGTAGCCATGTGGCAAGATTTCTTTTCTGGTAGCACAGCTATCCCCAGCAGGGCACAGGAGGGGAAGAGATGTGCCAAATGGCAAAACTCCATAAAACTAATTACCTGGGAAATTTTGGGGGGAAAATAGCATTGTGATACAGGTGTTATGTGTAGTTTCCAAGTCAGGAAAGGCCCTACATTTATGAAATGAATGAAATGAATATATTGAATAAAAGAAAATATTGAGTATGTGATGTCTATTAGCCTCACAGCTCCACAGACTGAATAACTCATTAAATGTACCCTCAATGCGTGAGTGCCAACAGCCACACTGTGGACTTCCCACAACACTCCTGTCCAATGCTGAGTCAGAAGCCTCCTCTTCTGCGTGTTTGGGTTTGTATTTTGAAAGTTCCTGTGGCCCAGACCTGAGCAGATCATCCAGTCCTGATTGGCAATGCTCCAGTCCAGCATCAACCACCCTCCAACTGAGCGCCAAGCTCCCCACTCACCCCAGATGTCCTCCAACACTGACTCTATACATCTCTTCCCTTCTCTATAAAGATGAGAGTGAAGAACAGATTAAAGTGATGATGTAAATGCACTATAAAAAATATACATT